TTGAGTATGTATATATAATACCCATCGTCAAGTGGATAGCGACTAAGCTTGAGTATGTATATATAATACCCATCGTCAAGTGGATAGCGACTAAACTTGTGTATGTATATACTACCTATCATCAAGTGAATAGCGACTAAACTTGAGTATATATGTATGATACCCATCGTGAAGTGGATAGCGACTAAACTTGAGTATGTATGTATGTATAATACCCATCGTCAAGTGGATAGCGACTAAACTTGAGTATGTATGTATGTTTAGTACACATCGTCAAGTGGTTAGCGACTAAACTTGAGTATGTAGACACTACCCTTCGTCCGCTGAATGACGATACGTGTCAGCTTTTCTTATTGAGTGTTATCGGATGCACACAGAACCCTCCTCCGCATATCCACCACTATCCACTCAAACAGACCTCGTGCACTTTTTTTTTTTTTTGTGGCGGCAGAGCAGCATAAATTTCGTCATGCACACAGCTTCAAGTCTGTTTTTTTATCATATTCTTGCACGCTTTAAACCATACTCTGAGCATGAATGTTTTATGTCGAAATAAAGAAGTCTCATGTATAACGAGGTTGACTTTTAAAACACACACACGTGAACAGGAATTTTTGTTTTAATTTTGTTAATCTGTTAGTATCAATATTACTTGAAAAACGGCGTTTGTAACAAGATCATGTTCTATAGGTATTTTGTTCCTGTTTTTAACGTTGTACAGCTAGGAATTTTAGAAACCAGCTGCTTACTCGTTTAATAAAGTGTTTAAACGAGAATATATGGACGTGTGTCCAAGAAAACTTCTCTTTCCAACCATCGTTATGCCTGATTATTTGATCGTGTGACAGATTTTATCTCCTTATTGTGTTCCAGATTTAGTGTGAAGGGTTCACGTGTGTCCAATATTAACTAATCTTTCCAACCATCGTTATGCCTGATTATTTGATCGTATGACATATTTTATCTCCTTATTGTGTTCCAGATTTAGTGTGAAGGGTTCACGTGTGTCCAATATTAACTAATCTTTCCAACCATCGTTATGCCTGATTATTTGATCATATAACATATTTTATCTCCTTATTGTGTTCCAGATTTAGTGTGAAGGGTTCACGTGTGTCCAATATTAACTAATCTTTCCAACCATCGTTATGCCTGATTATTTGATCTTATGGCTTATCTCCTGATTGTATTCGGGTGCAGTTTTAGTATAAATGGTTCAGTCTTTAAATTAAAAAGTAATAATAAGCTAACTTTTAACTGTTGTGCACGCTTACATGTTGGCAGCTGAGAATTACATACACGTGACCACAATAATGTGACTTGTATATGCACTCTGCAGGTGAATTAGTATACAAGTAATGTGCATTTGTAATTGCACTTTAAATGCTCACTTTGTATAATTTGTAAGTGTGTCACTAATGTGCACAAAATCTATGAAAAAAAAAGTAAAATAAAAATTGTGATGCAGTTAACGTTCTGTCCTGTTGTGATGTAGTTAACGTTTTGTCATGTTGCATGAAGATATTACACATCCTAGACCACGGTGACACCGTGCACTACCTCAAGCACCTCCTGGTTATAGAATAAGGTTACCAAATATTTAACCATCCAGCGTGAATCGTGAGGCACTACCATTCTACAAAATTTATTCAAAATATGTGAAGCAATTATGTAAACGAAAGCCAAAATACCAGCATCGCAACCAGAACGAGAAACATGATGTTGTATAGAACAGAAAATTACGTTAAACTTGCATTGAGCACTAAATGTTTTTGTGGCGTCGTAGTGAAACAACTCGAATAATTTTTTTTGCGGTTTTTTGCTATTGTGGAAATTGAACGGCTAATGTTTATTAATTAGAGACATCTTTAGTTTGTTTTTTTTTGTACCAAATTTTCCATGTAAACAATTTTTCGATTACAAAGTTAAGTCGATGTTTTCTGTTTGTCTTTGCCAGTACACGTTTCTAAGAGCTTAACAAATTAGGCCATTTAAATGACACATCCAACTTTTTCCTTCATTTTCAATATACATGCTTTATACGTAGATACTAACGCTCAGTTATCAATAGGATGAGGAAAAGTATCACGGTAGATTTAGAAATAGTTAAATTATGTTATTGGAGTTTGCTTTAAGCGCATTTTATCTGTAATTAAATGGCGCTTCCTCCAATGTCTGTCATATTTTCATATCTTTTACGTAACTAAGAAATAAGCTTTCCTTTAACCCTGTGAGCAAGTAAGACTGACCTAGTAAATCATGTCATGTACTGTTGGATTTAATGTCCCAGTATCTTTCAGTGGTTTTAACTTAAGAGTGTATAATATTATGTAAACCGAACCATAATTGCCGACGTGGTCATACACTCTTGGATCTAATGTCCCAGTATCTTTCAGTGGTTTTAACTTAAGAGTGTTCGGTTTACATAATATTATACACTCTTAAATTAAAACCACTGAAAGATACTGGGACATTAGATCCAAGAGTGTATGACCACGTCGGCAATTATGGAATAATATTATGTAATCCGAACCATAATTGCCGGCGAGGTCTCTTCAGGGAGGCTGACATACGACGTATCTTGTTCGTTATTATGCACACGCTGGGCAATTGGGCTAGCTGTGGTCTGCCCACCGGGGGTATCGAAATCTGATTTTTAGTGTCATAAGCCTTCAGACGTGCCACTGAGCCACAAGGAAGAGACAGGTTTAACAGTAGTTGAGACGCGATTTATATTAGAAAATTAGTTGAACAGTAATTGTTTCGGTATGAACTGGAATAAGTTTGGGAAATGTGATTTTTATCAGTTTTATTTATGCCACTATACATTACAATTAGACTCATTTCCGTGTTTAGTGGTACGTTTACCAAAATTCGGGTTTCGATACCCGCGCTGGACAGAGCACAAATAACCCATCGTGTAGGTTTTTGCTTGATCACAAAGAAACATCAGAATTAGGATAAGGCTTTTTTAAAAAAAACTTTATTTAGGTTCTTTCTTGGCACATATTTGTATGAAGTCTAAATTATAGATGTTAGAACAAAGTCGAATCTTTATCTGTTACTGGACATCAAAGAACTGAGTCTTTGCGTGTGTATGTGTATTCACATTAAAATAAGTTAATAGTAACTTCCGATCAGAGCAAGCTATGTACTTAGAGCGAAACGAAACATCAATCTGGCCATCAGTATAACTAATGAGATATAGTGAGTATATAATACTTACGAGGGAAGTAATATTTGAGATTCTGAAAACAACTGAATGGTTTAAATTAACTCTTTACAGTCCCGTGTTCAGCATGAGCTGTAGTTAACACATAATAATAACGTTAAATCATTTTTTCTAATTAACCCTCTCACAACATAACATCTGTTTGCACACATATTTTTAAATTTACCATACATCAAGTAACGGTATTGTTTCGTGCATGGAGCGTGTTCCTTAAAATTAAATCGTGCAGGCCGATGCATACGGGCTCATTGTTTAGCATTAACCACTGTGTGGCATATCATCAATCAGGTATACGTAACTAACTCCCTTCCATTTGTGGAAGAAGTCACTTTACAGTATCTGTTAAACTGGCGTTTTCAAGTGCTCTTCCTGTATGTACAAAAGTAGGCGGAGCAATGTATAATGCCACTTAACGATATTCCCTATGTCAAGTACAGACTTTGATAAGAAATATTTGATTTTAAAATGTTAAGGGAATAATTCTTTTTTTGTTTCATTTTTATAGTAATTTTAGTATTTTTTAATGTGGCTGACTAACTTACAATTCACCAACTATAGCTAGGGAGTCTCATATATATATATGAAACGTTACAGAAGTAGAGCGTTATATTTGAGACATTTTGATTAACACGTATACAGTTTAGTTACATCGATAGTAAAAGTTGTCTTGTTAGATTTCGTATGTATATATGTAGAATGAAAATTAATTCATTATTATTTTTGGCCTAATGGCTAACGTATGGGACAGCGAGGGGATAAAATGTTTCGGTTTAGACATTTGATGCTACGTTTCGCACTTTCAGCTGCGCGTGAGTGACTTATAAAAGTGACTGTCAATCCTGCGATTTGGTTAGTAATAGTCGCTTTAGGCGGCGGGCGATGCAGGTTGCCTCTTCTCTGGTTCTCAGTTTAAAATTAAGGACATTATGCGTGAGCTGTAGTAGTCCCTGACTTGGTCATTTATTTTATTGTGCAGATAAGGTATCGTTCAAGTGAAGAAAACAAACTTTACATGCTATTTTTGTGAAATGCCTTTATACCGCATGCATATATATATAGTTGTACAGACATCGACAACAAAAGTCTTGTGCGACTTTTGTAACCACTTTTACCTTCTTACATGATGGAATATCCGTAACAAAAGCTAAAAATAAGTTTTTTTTCTTCGACAGATCCTTCATTTCAGTTTATTTTAGTAACTAGTTAAAAATATTAATTATTGTCAGTTGTGAATAGCTTCTTTAGCAGGATATGTAACTCGTGTTGCATCTAATAGCAGGATATGTAACTCGTGTTGCATCTAAAAATTACAAAACCTTCTTACCGTTGGGTGAATATAACGATGTTCCTCGCTGTTCAGTTAACGTTGAATTTGGTCATGTACTGTTGTAAAACAAAGTATATTTACACGACTGATTCTGATTATTAACTATGGTAAAAATTCAATTAGTAGTTACCTACATGTTTTTTTTTTTCATTCAGATTGTAATATGTTCATTGTCAAATTGTTTCGTATTAGATTCAAAATAAATCAATTGATTTTGTCGAAATCTTTTACAGCGATTTACCGTTCTGATGTCCACAGAAAATGTTGAGTTTCAGTTTAAGAGTTAGTAACGATTAGTAATGAGCAAGTAATATATACACACATTTAACATTAGAAAAATACCGTAAAGAAGATAATACAATCTGTGTATCAGAAGAAGAAAAAAAAAGATATTCTTTTCAACTTGTACAAGTTTAGTCATTTGTGTTTGTTCTTTTACAGAAATGCAGGTACAGGGACGAAGATTTTCCAATTTCAACAGCTTCTGGTGATTACAAATATTTCTCCAATCTAGATGGTTTCCCAAGAAGTTTGGTGGAGAAGGCGCTATCGGTGTCCGATTACTACGGCAGTAACGTATCGAACTCGCCGAGAAAAGTAAGACATTTTAACTAAGCGAAGGCCGTACTCCGTCAGAGAATGTAGAAACGTTATATTTTGATTAAGTCAAATGAATTTTTTTTTTGTATTTTGGACGCATTAAAATAACTAATGTTACTTCAATACAAGCGAAAGTTTCTCATATTCGGTCATTTTGGATGTGCATTTTTATAACGAGAATTCAGCCGTAAGTTATAAGTTACTATGTGTGTGACTATACGACTCCTCTACCTTGGAAAATTCGGAGTACCATCATCTCCTTTTAAGCCTTTTTACGACAGAGCCAAAGGAATACTGAATAGAACTCATATGACTATTCAGTATTGCCTAAGTTTTTAACTCATCTGCCAAAACTTAGGCAATACTGAATAGAACTCATCTGCCAAAAATTGGGCAATATCACTACTATAGTGTATAAAATATTATGTACGCAGAAAGAATCATATATCACTAAGCACGGATGGGCCCGGAAAAAAAGGGCCGTCGCATATTATGTATTGCTTATAATAGTCTAAAATCTTTCTTATAACAATGGAAGAGACTTTTATAAACACCTAACTTAGGTTTTCAAAAGCTATTATGATCTTCAGTTTAGCCAAAGAACATTGCTAAAGTAGAAAACTGGCGACCGGAGTAACATTCAAATATTCTGCTGATTATTTTGAATCTGGCATCAGAAGGGCTGGCTCACCATGTTTGAAGTTGTTGTGATGACTTACTCACCAAAATGTTGCATTTTATCTTGGGAAGTGCAGAAGCAGTATAGAATTTCACTAACTTCAACACATGATGTCTATCGAGACAAGGCATCACACCAGGCTAAAACTGATGCCTTCATTGTGACTGTCATTCTTTAAAAAAAGAGGAGAAGCAAGTAATATAAAAACATTTTGAAAAAATAAGAATGATGTAGGGATGGCAATGCTAAAAAGTACAGAAACAAAGTAGGGATGAATACACAAAAACCATACAAAAATATTTACATAAGTAGCCACTGAGTCAATGTTACAAGCTTATGGGAATTAATCAGTTTTATTCAAACCTGAATTTAATCAAATGAAAGGAATTCAACGTTTAGTTGTAGATAAAAGTTTTTTTAAAAATATTTGGCTAGTTAAGTAGGCATTTTTGTAAGGGTTTGTGTATTCACCCTTACCTTGTTTCTGTACTTTTTGGCATTGCCATCCCAACATCATCCTTATTTTTCAATTTTATTATTACTTTATATATATACTTATTATCAGTCAAACATTCTAATGTTTCTGTTGCTAGGTTTTCAAAGGAAAGCTAGATATTTGAAAATTAATCTTGCAATATTTAATAAGATCTGCATCATTGGATTAAATTTTGTTTCTACGTTGGTTGCTATGGATATAAGGAGAAATAAATTATTACTGTTTGTATAATAAGGCAGTGACACTTTCACAAAAGTTATGATAAATTTAAACAGTGGTAAATGTTATGTTTATAGTATGTAAATCTGGTTTTTAATATATATATATATATATATATATATAT